GATAGCAAAGCATTAAACCAAGCACAAAGCCCTATACTATACAGGTTGCACACTCGTGAAGCTGGCCAAGGGGAGGGAACGTTGACCTCATCTCTTGATGGGCAGAATGTCAAGGCTGCACAGGGGAAAGCGTGTGATATGGGGGATAATGGTGTGGTCATCTCTAAAAATAAAATCTACCCAGTCTCTGGGACTCACTTCCAATTAATTTTGTGGCTTACACTTTTACTACCTAGAACCAGAGTTAGCCATCAGTTATAAAAGAGAAACTGCAGGCTACCATAACAGGAACAGGGATGTATTTTAAAACTCCTTATGGATATAGTGGTTGCCCCTAAAGAGAGGATAGCAAAAATATTAATACCTGTTTTATCTCTGTTTCTGGGCTGAATTGTATCTTTTCCCCTAAATTCATGGGTTGAAGCCCTAACTCCCAAGGTGGCAGTATTTAGAGATAGAGCCTTTAAGAGGGTAATTAAGGTTAAATGAGATCATAAGGGTATGGCCCTAATCCAATAGGACTGGTGTCTTTAGAAGGAAAGGAAGAGACACCAGGAGTGCCTGCACAGAAGAAAAGCCATGTGGGCACACAGCAACAAGACAGCCATCTGCAAGCCAAGGAGAGAGGCCTCAGGAGAAACCAAACCTGCTGGCATCTTGCTCTTGGACTTCTAGCCTCTAGAATTGTGAGACAATAAATTTCTGTTGTTTTAGCTACTCAGTCTGCTATGGTTTGAATGTTTCTATCTCCTCCAAATTTCATGTTGAAACTTAATCCAAATGCAACAGTATTAAGAGGTGTGGGAGGGAGTCCACCCCTTTTCACCCTTTGCATGCCTTCCGCTAACTGAGGACATGTAGATGGTGCCATCTGTGAAGAACAGGCCCTCAGCAGACACAAAACTCGCCAGTGCCTTGATCTTGGACATCTCAACCTTCAGAACTGTGAGAAATAAATTTCTGTTCTTTATAAATCACCCAGCATAAGGCATTTGTTATAGCAGCACAAACAGACTAAGACACAGCCATAGCAGACTAATACAATATCTAAGAGTTACAAATATTTACTTTAGTTGCCCTTTTTAGTATTTTCTTTATTACTCATCCTAATCCATTGACTATCCCAGGTTCTTTTCAACTTCAAAGGAAAGCTGAATCTAACAGCAAATGCCATGTTTTAATTAATGTCCCTTCTTTAATAACATTCTGATAAATAAAGTCTTTATTATTCATTTTTCTTAGAGTATTGCTTGTGTCCAGTAAAGGTTCATGTCTATTGTAATACTGTAGCTCATTTATGGATTTGTATAAAGTAATATTATTGCCTCAGGTGGTTGCTGGCCCTTGGGCCTTTGGAACAGGACACTTTTTCTAAGCATTGGCCCTGAGAATTGACTCCTGAACATATTGCAAAAGCCCAATTGTGATTGCTCCCTCAAACACTGCTATGGGTTCAATTGTGTCCCTCTCAAAATTCACATGTTTAAGTCCTATCTCTTAGTCCCTCAGAATGTGACCTTATTTGGAATCAGGTCTTTACAGAGGTAATCAAGTTAAAGTGAGGTCATTAGGGTGAGCCCTAATCTAGTATGGCTGATGTCCTTATAAAAGGGGAAATTTGGACACAGACACGGACACACAGAGAGAGCACCATGTGAAGATGATAGCAGGACTCAGGAGATGTGAAAGCCAAGAAATGCCTGAGATTGCCAACAAACCACCAGAAGCAAGGAGGAAGCAGGAACAGATTCTCACTCATGGCTCTCAGGAGGAACCAACCATGCTGATGCTTGATCTTGGAATTCTCGTCTTCACAGCTGTGAGACAATGAATTTCTGTTATTTAAACCACCCAGTCTGTGGTGCATTGTTATGGCAGTCCCTTCCTGCCCCTTCCTGGAATCTCTGCAGTTCTGGGTGGGCGATCACGGGGATAAACTTGTGCCCACGGTGAGGAAGCTGCCAGATGGCATCACATCTCAACCCAGTTAAATGAAAATTCTCATTTTTTCAAAGAGTTTTGTGAAAGTCAATTTATTGGATTTTTCAGGTACAAAGGAAAGGGGATAATTTTTGATAGAAGGACTCCTTTAATACCTTTGATACCAGAAGATTGTCTCATCTACCTTCTTCAAGACTCTTCTACCCAAGAATAATGTCTTCACTTATTCCAGAGTTTACAGGGACTTAATGCTCAGTTGTTTTTCTCCAAAAACCCTATTTAGTCCAACTGTATTAGGATTGGCACTTAATTATTCTGATCTAATAATTTGCATGATTTTTAGGGCCATAATTGTTGAAAGCTGATATTAGAATCCTAAAAGTGGCATATCTTATTCAGCAATGTTTAATGCTTTATAATAACAATAATATTGGATGCATTATGCAGTAATAATGGAAATTACATTTGCGGAGTCATTGTAGTAATGGGACATTCTGAAATGCAAGAAATAGAAAAAGCACAGTGGAAGAGCAGAACATGTTTTATTCACAGCCTTTTGGCTGTCTGTGCTGTCAGGTCGGAAGGCAGGAGGAGCTTCTGTGCTCCCTGGTGGCATACCACCCCTGGGCTGCATGGTTTAGATCAACCCTTCAATTTTGATTGAAGTGGGGGATTTTCAGTCACTGGCATCAAAAGAGGGTGTGGGTGTTGTTGTGTTTGGAAATACTTTTTGCTCTTTAAGACAGATTATCATTTTATAAATGAGAATTGGATTTCTAAAGAACTCATATATTTGCTATGGGTTAGCCTAACAATTTGGTTCTCTTCGAGTTGCTCACAACTTCTGATTGATAGTTTATTTAAAAATATGCTTGGAAAAAATATACACATTATATTCCCTATACTTCACTAACACAGTTTTATGTATTAGTGATTTAAAGCTGATTAACTTTACCCTGCTCTCTGAATACTTTGATGTATTGCTCACATTCAATTTATGCAAACTCACAGAAAATAGCAATGAAAATAAATCTGTAAGGAACCTAAGACATTCTTGGCTATGCGAACTGATACCACAAATGCTGATTCTGAGTTTTGGATACTTTCTGCAGCAATTAGATAATTTTGTAAAGTTTGATTAAATATTTCTTTTGGCAGCTTCATTGCCCTTCATCCAGGAGTATTCTGCTTAAAACTGCCAAGATTTAACAAAGCCATGGAAGTGCCAGGGCAGCAGAGATGGAAAAAAGAATGAATTAGTTTCATTGTGTCTGATTCACAAGAAGTAGTTTGGCCCAGTGTATGTTCACGGAACCTGCCTTTGCTCAGTTTCTTTTATGAAGAAATGTTTTTCTTTTTCACGTTTTCTCTTTGATTATGGAACTGTTGAAGTGACAAGCTGGTTTACAGATATTTAGTCTTATCTAGTCTTTTCTGAGGCCGCTCAGTATTTTGGGGCTTACCACCATTCCTTTTCCTTGGTAGAGCGGGAGCTACTGGTCAGGCAAGAGAGTACAGCCATCTCCACCATCTCCCACGGTTGTCAGGCAAAGCCCATTTTGTTGTAGCAATTATATGTAAATTCTTTGTACTTTCTCTTCCAATCAACTCTGAAGTCACACAAGGAATGTTTCCGTGGCACTGAGCGTCTCACGTTTCAGCCTTACATGAGAAGCTTATCAAGCGGATACACATGAGAAAGAGGAGGGGCTGGGTTTGGTGCTCATCCGCCCTTCTAAACAAGCAAAGATATTTTCACTTTCATGGGGCAGGATATTAGTGGCTTCAGTTGGTAGCTCCCTGCAGGGCTGTGTCACCTCTTGGGACTACAGCCTTTGCTCCTTTGCAGTGATTCCCTCCGTTCTAATTATGCCAATTTGTGTGTGAATGCTGTCAGTTTTCCTCCGTGTGGTAAAATGAGCCCCTTGACAAGTGCTCTGCAAATGTAAAGTGGTTATACTGATGACAATACTTTACTCATGGCCCATATTCACTCTCCGATAGCACCTCATTTTCCAAACCCAAACCTCTTTGGGACTCTGAGGTTATCCATTTTTTTTCTCTTTGTTCTATCGAGGAGGCAGCATCCTGTAGTGGTTAAGAACACAGACTGATTTCATCACTGCCTCCCAGCTGTGTGGTGAGGGATAGGTTCCTGAGTCTGGTTCCTACTCTTTAATTAGGGATACTAACAGGATCACTCTGATATCACTGTTGAGAGGATTAAATGGCTACTGCAAGGGGAAGCACTTAGCATGGTATCAGGCACATATAAGTACTTGGTAAGGATTAGCTTTCATTACTTGCTGAAGATGTTTAGGGTTCTGTTATTCTAATGGATTTTGTGCAAAGCCAGCAAAAGGAGCTGCTTCTCGTAACTGGATTAATTGTAAAAATATTTCTCTCCCATTGTATTCTTCCTTTATTCCATCTCACCTGAGATATGAACTTGTGTTCATTAAATGAGCAGAGGATGGTGTTGCTTTTTTAGAATTTAGAATGCTGTACTAGTATATATTAATATTTTTAAAAGAAGTCATGGAATAATAATAATAATTTTTTATGAGTCCAGTATTCAGGTACCCGAGAACTCTTTCCTTGGCTTCCAATACTGATGATGTTGGAGGGGAATGAGGCTTGGAAGGTGGTCCCTGCAGGCAGTGGCCCTCTGTCAGTCCCTCCTTTTAATCACCATTCTGTCAGGGCTTGGCTGGGTTTCTTAGAGTGGCACATAGCTTGTGGGGAAAGGCTGTGGGCACGGAGCTCCACAATACACACTCCGGCTTCTCCTTCTTGGGTGTCCATTCCCACTAGATGGAAAACAAGAAGGTCCAGTATGATTTCTGCCTGGCATTTCATTATTTGGATATTAACATTTAATATGGAATGAAGTTAGAAGTTCATGTCATAAACAGCCACTAAAAAATTTCCTCCAACTCTAAGTTCTGCTTCTTTGGAAGGTTGTTAGGTTGTTAGAACGTGAGGCTCCTAATAACAAGATGGTATTTTCAACAGTGATTTGTCAAATCTGCTAATCGCATCTCATTGCTGTGTTACAGATTGACATTCTCAAGGCAGATCTGGAAAGTGCAGAATGGAAAGTTTTGGAAAATCTTATTTTGGAAGATGTCCTTGAGCAGATTGGACAGCTCATCTTTGAGATCCATCTCCATTGGCCTGGGTTCGAGGTCGGCGGTAGTGACAGCAGCGTCGTGCGGTTCTGGTACAGCCTCCTCAAAGAGTTAGAACTAAAGGATTTCAGGCTTTTTCACAGTTACAAAGATTTATCTAAACCACAGCTATTCCTGAAGAAAGACATTTTCAATGCAAGTAGCTGTTATACCCTGAGCTGGGTGAATACAAGGTGGAAATAGTATGCAGGACCTCATCAAGAACACGAGGGAATATTACTATTTGCAGAACAGAGCATGTTCATGATTCTAATAATGGGTTTACTCACCCTCAGTCTCCCACTAGCCTGTACCTGCTTGAGGCAGGGAGGTGGTATTGTCTTTGTAGGGCATGTAGCATGGTGCTTGGCCTGTGGCAGGGGCACAGTTAAGACTTGCTGAAGGGGTGCACACAGTCACCCCCATTTGCCCAGAACCAGGCCTTTGGCCTTTTGCCTCTGACAGAGTGTGGATGCTTGTCCTCCTCCACTTTAACTTGAAAGATAATCCCCCACTCATCCCAGTCTTCCCTAAAATTCACTACATATCTATATTCCATGAATTCACCAACATTTGTTGAGATTACGTAAGTTTTCCATTTTTACTAGGTTGATGAGATTTTTAAGTTCATTGCCTACTGTCTAAAATAGTGTCTTTCATTTGACTCTGACTCACCTCTTTCAAGGTTTTTCCTGTTTGCCTTGTCAATAATATTCTTTGAAACCTTACAGATTTCAATAGTTTCTCATGCTGCGCCTTCGTGAGAAACAATGATTCTGGTTTCTGGGAACTCAGACACACCAAATTCAGCCACTGAGTTAGGAAGACTCGACTGTCAAGAACTTCAACTCAAGATTCTTGTCATGCGTAACCTTAAATCCCGTTCACTTGCTATGAAACTATGCACAAAGCAGAATATGGGTGTCTTTGCTGCTGCCTTTTTTGCCTTCAAACATGATTTTCCAACTACAGACTTGCCTGTGGTGTCTAATCTTTTTTTAAAAATACATTATCTCAAATGCTAAGTGCATTTTTCTTTACTGCCAGTTGGCATCATTTATAAGCTTGTGGCCTGAGGGCCACAGTCTCTCTTTCCTAGGATGGTTATCTAGTTTTCAGTAGTACCAATCCTTTTCACATTAAAAAAAGTTAAGTGGAAAGTTTAGGTTCTCAATAGTTCAAATGATCTCTATCATTCCTATTTACAAGATTAGATATTACTCCTCTGAACAATTTAGAAAAATCCTATTTCAAATAAATTGCATAGTATAAAAATAAATCAAAGTACTGTCTAATTGTAAATTAATTATATTTTTTGGTATTTTTTTACATCTTGAGAGTGTAAAAATGGTATGTACATTGTTCAAAATTTTGGGGGAGGGGCGGGATAGAAGAATATTATTACTAGACTTTATCCCTTCTCCCAGTTTTGTACTTCCTCCTACTCTCAGACATTTCCCACCTTCTCTTTGTTTCTTGCAGTGGTTTGAAAATGCCATTCCTCAAATGAGAAACCAAAAATATATTACAATAGAATGATCTCACTAACCTGAGTTCAAAAGAGAACAAGACTTTCTGAGTTAGTTGTGATTGCTTTTTTAAAAATATAAATGAGGTTTTTATTTTAAAACTCATAGTACACTAATAAAAGTTGTTGAGCTGAGAGAACCAGCTTGAATAGTGTGATTTGAAATGGCAGTTTAGTCATTTCCATGTATGTAGGTATTTCAGATGTACAAAAGTTTCCATAAAAACTCTAAAGTGGTTTATACTGTTAGTTTTAATGGCCTCATCTCCAAAGCAAAGCTAACTTTAGCCCACTTCCGGATTATATCACAGATTTTTTTCATAAAATTTTTTTCATATACTGAAATAAACATTTTTATACACTAAAGTGTGAAGAGTGTACTCATCTAAAGTGTCCAGTCTGATCAACTTTTAGATATGTACACACCCATATCAAGGTTTGTAATTCAGCAATTCAGGGCATTACTGAAAGTCCCCTTTGTCTAGGGCAGGTTAACCATTATTCCAGATTGGTGGTGCAGAACATTGACTTCATCACACTATATATATCTGAAGCAAGAATGGCTGTACTGTTAAAAAAGAATAAATCACAAACACACCCACCCACACCCACCAACTAGGCAGCCTGTTTAATAGTTATTCATACTTATTTTATGCTTATTTCTAAAACTGTCCCTTATTCTCTTCATGGATAGTTTGAAATTTCTGATGAATATTCTGATGGTTGCTGAAGTTTCCCTGCCTCTAGAATTTATTATGCTTATCATGCAGGCCAGGGTTTCTTAACCTCAGCACCATTGGCATTTGGGCTGGATAATTCTTTATTGGAGGTGGGAGGGCTGTTCTGTGTACTGTAGGAAGTGTAACAGCATCCCTGGCCTCCACCTCCTGGGTGGCAGGAGCACCCCCTCCCCCATTCTTCCTGCCCCAAGTTGTGACAACCAGATATGTCTGCGGACAATGCCAAATGTCCCCTAGGGAGCAGAATCACCCACTGTTGAGAACTATGTCTTAGGGTGTCATGGGAAGGGCCAGGCTACTGTGGCACTGATGTTTGCTTGTGAAGAACAGGCAGAGACAAAAATTATCACCACTGTAACCACCACAAAAGCAACACTAATGGAATGCAACAAACAATCAAGAGATGCTATTTACTGAGAGCTTACTGTCTGCCAAACAATTTGCATAGCTTATTCCCAATTCTCCCAACAACCCAAAAAGCAAGTGTAATTTTTCAATTGTATGGGTAAAAAAACCTCTGAGGTTAAATGGCTTATTTAGATGACTCAATAGTAGATGGAGGAACAAGAATCCACATTTTGGTATTTCAGATCCCACAAATCCTGTGCTTGGTCTCCTCCACAATGCTGTTTCTGCAACCTTTGCCAAACATAAGAGGCTTTGTCTGAAGGAAACATTTTCCCTTCTCCATTAGTAAAAGGGAGACAAAACTACAAATAGATAAGACCTCCAAGTCTGTTAGAGTCAGAATGATTTTGTAGCATGCAGGTTCACTTACCTTAAACCATCTACTTGATTAAACTATGCCTGCCAAATGGAGGCTCACTGAAGAAATATGGGGACCGAGCAACTTCTCTGTCAATATATTTAGGCTGCCAGAAAAGCTCTTAGATGGCCTGGAAGTGACTCTTGCTCTGGCTTATCCCAATACTTGGCACTTGCTTCCTGGGTTTTAGAAAGAGCACAGTCATTTGGAGCTGCAGTGTGATTCTCCTTTGCTTAAAACTAGTCTTTGACTTGCAGATAAATGAGCTACAATGAGAATATCTGTGATGTGCATCTCCTTAATTAACTCTTAGCTAGTGTTTATAAATGATTCTGAAAACACAAATTTAATAATGCTCTTATCAAATGATAAAAATAACTGCTTTTTTTTAGGTATAAGACATATGAGGATGTAAGAGATCCAGAAGTCACCTTTCAGCATAAACTGTGTCACAATTTGAGATTAAAGTCAAAGAAAAATAGTTTTCTCCTACCTCTTCTTTTTCTTTTCTTCTTCTTCATTTATTTGTTTATTTTCTGTTTAGAGACAGGGTCGCACTTTCTTGCCCAGGCTGGCGTGCAGTGGCATTATCATAGCTCACTGCAGTCTCAAACTCCCGGGCTCAAGCAACCCTTCCTCTTTTCTTAGAGTGATTGTAGCTGATGCAGTTATAATAGGTTATCATATGAGTATTTGTAATTATTTGACATGTTTAAATGAAAAAAGCCTGGGAGAAGTGAACAAGTTTCTATTCGGGTTGACTGAAGGTCCACTAATATTTATATCAGAGTAGAAAAAAAAGTAAATTCATGAATTTACAGTGTTTAGTCCAAATCAGTTATTCATGTAAACATTTCTGCCTTGGTTTATTTTAGTAAATAAATATTTGCATATCTTAAGTATTAAATGGTTAGGTTTTGCAAAGCTTGGATTAATACCAGGAAGCCAGGCACCTCATATTTTGCCAATGTAAAAATGAAGACCTAATTTAAACAGATCATTCTACTTAACAATACAGCAGTACCTCCAAGCTCAATTAGTATAATTGTTCTTTCCTGGTGGAGATAAACTTATGTTTGATTTTTAAGCAATAACATAATTCTTTTGGTACTAGCCAATTGCTGGCACTTTGTGAATTCAAGAATACATTTAACCTTATGTTAAAATGTCTTCCTTTTTTCTTACATTGAAAGAGGTATTTGAATTTATATGAAATCAACCCAAAGATTCAATATATTCTTAAAATTGCCTAAATTTAGAGATTATTGAAATTATTTAAATAATTTTATTATATTTCTTTCCCCAAGAAAAATAAATCAAGTATCCTCAATGTTGTCATACTTTATGTTTATAACTTTTATATATGGAGAAATGCTGGTTCTCAACTCATTAAAATTAATGCTTTCTAAAACCAGAAACTTCATATTTTTCTCAGAATATTTTAACTTTATCTTAGTGATTGGTTTTACTATATAATTGTCTGAAATAATAAGGGATTTAAAAATTTGGGGGCAAGTTTGACTGGAGTAACTAGACTCTTTACAATTAGACAAGACTATTTCAATACAAAAGCCAAGCATATACAGGACTCACACCCAACCAGTATGTACCAGTAGAGAAGATCATTGTGCAACATGGTGATTATAGTTAATAAGAATAAACTGCATACTTGAAAATTGCTGAGAGTGGATTTAAAACGTTTTCACCACAAAAGATTAAATACAGTGTATATGAGGTAATGGGTGTCTTAATTAGCTTGATTTAGTCATTCCACAATGTATCCATGTAACAAACTGTCATGTTGCACTCCATAGATATATACAATTTTTGTCAATTAAAAAAAAGTGTGTTCCATGGAATCCTTCAGACATATTTACACTTAAAAAAAAAGTACCAGTAGAGCTATAAGAGGTTGGTAAATGGCTGTGGCCTTGAGTTCCTGGGTGGTCCTCCTCCACTGGAGCCTGTCACAGAATGCTCAGGTAATTAAAGGTTAATGCAGAGCACAAAAGGCAGCGTCCAGGACCCTGACTCAGTGTGTGACTCAGCATGGTGGCTAGCTTCTATTATAACTGGTCCATCTTCTGCCTTACTTGTCATTGGATATTTTGAATATCACCCCTGGGTGGGTGAATATAATAAACAAAGGTCCAAGTGGGTTCTATAACATAATGAGAAACCACCTTTATCTATCAATAAAAATAAGCTATTATCTGTACAAGAAAATATTATTTCTCAAGGATTAATGACAGATCAAACATCATTTTCTCAGGGACCCCTCTGTTAAAGGACCCCAGCTGTGTGTGTCCTCACAATGCCCTTAACACTCACTGCACTTTACTTGTGTAATGTCTGTCTTTCCTAGCAGACTGTAAGGTCCAGGAAGGTAGGGCCCATGTCTGCAAGCCCCAGTGCCTAGCATGGAACCCGCTAGGTAAAAGGTGCTCAATAAATATTGCTGAATATAAATCTAAAAAGGTATTTCACACTGAATGTTTCCATCTGATTATTTCATCATCATTTGTTATTGAAGTTTTTTTCTGGCATTAAAAATACCTTTGGAATTTAGATGGACCTCATTTTGTTAATTTAAGTTTGGACACAATTTGTCCTTGTCTTGACATGGTTTATTGCACTGCATGTGGTAGTCCCCATTCCTGATAAAAGAATGCTACCCTGGAGATCTTGATTTTAGGGAATTGAGAGCTATACAATAATTGAATTGAATAAATACAATAATAATTTTTCAGTTTATGAGAGAAGGATGATGTGAAGCTATTTCTACCAAAGATAGGGGCTGGTATTTTATATAAAAATGATTGAATCCACACTGTTTTTGTAGGACGAATGTATAAAAAAGACTATAGTTCAAAGAGTAAAATCAAGGTGAGAAAAGACTGCATTCTCAAGACTGAAGTATGTATGAGCCAAGGAAATTT